GAGACAGTGAGGACTAATGCTGCTCAGCCTCTAACCTGCTCTTGATTTTAGCCAGTATTAATTTTGCACCAGAATTTCTCTTCAACAGGCTTCAAGCACAGAGAGTGAGAAATCTGACTTGCAGATGTAAGTCTCATTACACAAGCAGTTGGGCTGCTGAGTGCTATTTGCGTGAGCAAATTTATTAAGGGAAAGAGAAGAGAGGAGGATATATTTTGGACAGGTCAAACCCTGCTTCCGTATTTAGAAACAGGCTATTTTAAAACAAACAAACAAACAAATAAACAAACAAACCCTGGAACTGGATATCCTATTCCTTAGTCTCACTAAAAAAGACCCAAACAAACAGCTCTGGAAGTTTTTTTAGCCCAGTGAAGCCTTTTCTTTAAAATTAGACCATTTTGTTTTGTTGTTTGTTTGGGAGATTTTTCCTAAGCAGTCACACAGCTTTGTGAGACAATTCAACAGTTAATTTAAAAGATGTATTGGTAAGAACCATGTTATGCATTGTCTTGCAAGAGCGACTTCTTTCATTTTGCATTCATTATTTTTGTGATTGGAATAACTGCTTTGTATTTCTTCCTCCAAATAAAATATTTATTAGTAAATCTTGCACCGTGCAAATTAATGCTGTTTGATTTCTTTCTGGGCGTCCTCTTTTTTTCAGCATTAATGCTTAGACTCCCAACAAACACTCTCAGTAGGTTGTGTGTCTCACTCAGGGAAATACCTGCCTTTGGGCAAAAGACAAAAAGCCCAAAAGACTGAGCTTATGGGATGTTTTTGTTGAAGGCAGTGCTGGAGGGGGTATGGCATTGATGGCTGCTATCCTCCAGGTGCTACAAGGAAAACCCCACCTCTGTTGGGCTTCTGAGTCTTGTGGAAAACATCCCCAGAGACTTCCCTGAGGTTACCTGGTACTGTGGCTTAGTGGCAATTTTATAATCTTGTCTTGAGTAAATAACAGCTGGTCTTGGCATGTTCCCAGGAGCAGAACAAGGAGACAGGAGCTGTTCCCTGCTCAACTGTGGGTCAGTGCAATAACCTGAGCTGCCAGTCAGAAATGCTGGGATCGAGCTGTTGTCCTCCAAGCCCAATGTCACCAATTAATCACTTGCTGCCTGTAACCTATCAATGACGATGTGCTGGGGTATTTTTTTTATTCCTGGCTTTCTCCATCCTTCTGCTGTTTATCTCTGAGGAGCTTCTGCCAAGCTAACCCCAGTGTTTCAGGGATTAATTCTCAGAAAAAGCTCAGAGAGGAGCTCTCAGCCAGGAGCTGATTAAATGCATCTGAGCTCAGCCCTGTGATACTCCTGGTTGGGTGAGGAAGACAGGATGCTTTGCTGGAGTAAGGCTAAGGAAGATGAGGGGCTCTGACCAAAAAGTACAGCCATGCTTGATATTTAAAGTGATGTTTTTGCTACTTTAGCCTTTGTCCAGCCACAAGCTGTGAAAGGCAACTACAGGCTGTTGTTAGGAGGTAATAATTTGGCTCTAACTTTAAATCCTTTTAGTGAAATTCTGCAGGAGGTCAGTAATATTGTAATCTAATTTAAGCTTCTGGGAACTTTTCTCTCCTCTCATTCCACCCATATACAACAAATGCATCTTCATTAGTCTGTGCACATGTAGATGCTGTATCTAACATTTGTAAGTACTGGCAGGAATGGAAAATACTTAGCAAGAGGAATTTTACTTTTCTCGTTTCTTTGGTTATGGTTTGTTCTTAAACCATCAAACATCTCTTTCAATAAAAATAACTAATGTGTTTATTTTTACCAGAGCAGGGTAAGAAATTTGCATTAAAGAAATTACTCTATTCATCTTTTTTAGATCAGGCACAAGTTGTGATTTTCTCATTTGTACTTACTGTTCAAAAAGATTTACTGAATATTTTTTATGAATGAATATATTGGCAATTCATCCACAAGGAGTTTGTTATGTGTATTAATTTAAACAATCAATTCTAATGGATTTCAATGTCCAAATATCTTTGATGACTTTTAAAACCTGAAGCTAATTAGTCAAAACTGAGCTGTTTCTTTTCAAGAGGCAAGGTGTAATCTAGCAAGACAATAGCAACTTTAGGGTGGTTTTTTCTGTGTTGTCTTGTTATTATAAATGGGAGCTGTGCTCTTCTGCAGAAGTCTCTGTTATTCAGTGTTATTTGCCACTAAAGTTAGTGGGAAATATGTTAGAATTTGTAATGGGACTGGGGTTTTATCCATTGTTTCAGCCAACACATGAGTCATCCAACTCCTTCAGTGGTGTGCAGCAGGAAGGGGAGCAATGAGGCACCAACACAGAATTTTAGTGTTAAAACATCAAGAGTAAACACTCAGGTAAAATATTTGGCAATATCACCCAGCTTTAATTTTCACATTTTAAAGGTTGATCTTTCATGTTCCCTCAAGTTCTTTGTTTGCCTGAGTCCCTGGATAAAGTGCATGGAAAGTCAGAGGATATCTTATGTCATCACTATTTGTGTTAATGGCTTAGGAACCCACAATCCAATCAGTTAAAATAAACAACCCAGTGTAATAGGAGCATAAATCAATGAAGACTTCATTACTGAAACCTTAATGTGTAATCCATCCACCTACAGAGGAAAGGGATACTGAGAGGCAGCAAGACAAAACCAGAGGACAGTCTGATTTAGGCAACCCTGGTATTTAAAAAGGTGTTGAGAACAGTAAGTCTTCCTGGAGTCTGTAAATCTGATGGATACTCATCACTCCTGACAACCTGCCCCTGACTATTAAGTCCCTATGCTAAAAAATGCCAAGAAACTCTTGGGAGGAGAGCTCTGAATGTTCTTTGTTTAGTCTGGGAGATTTGAGCCAGCTCAAATGAACAAAGACATGAATTAGGAAGATTAACATAGGACTAAAATGATATATTACACCCAAGAGTAATGCTGCTCAGAACTGCTCTGACCCTGCTTGAGCCAGTGGCACAGATCTGGACTCCTCTAAGGTGAAGGTGGCAATACTTGGTGAAAAATGAGTTACTGGACTTCATTAAAGTCACATATCCTGTTTGTCTTGGCTCTGAAAGGAGCAGCAATCCTATCACACTGAGCCTTTTGATTTCAACAGGGATCATAAAAGGGCTGAACTTCCATGTTCAGTGCTGAGATCTCTGCTTGTTGAGTTAATAACCAAGAGAAACAGCAGGTTCTCCCTCTGGGCATGGGCCAGCTCTGATGGGATGAGACAGGCACTTTGCCTCTGCATTTCAGCTAAGAGCAAAAGCAAGCTGAGCCTTGAGAAAGCCATCAGTGCTCACAGAGCCTCTCCACTGGGTTCCCATTTCAGAAGTGATTCTCCAATCTCATCCTCATCTGACTCTTCATCTGTCCTTCCTTCCTCTTCCCTGACCACATCTTGTTCTTTTCTCTCATTCCCCTGCTGACACCTCTTGTCCCTGTGGCTCCCTTGGAATATATATTGAATAGAGAATGGTTGGTAGCTCTGCTAATTGACCTAAACCAGTATGATGGGAAAGCTCTTGTTTTTCAGAGATTTGGAGTTTGTTTTTGTTAATAATTATGTCCACCAAAAAAAAAAAAAAAAAGAAGAAATCAAAGCACACACACTAGTTTTAGTAGTTTTAGGATACAGAAGCTAGGAAACATTGGCACACTAATGTAGTTATTCCATGCAGAAAATGGCATGTACAGTTTGCCAATACAGAAGGAGATTTGGTTGCAGGGAGCTGCCAAGCATCCTATAGGATTTCTGTGACAGGGGGGGAAATCTGTTTCTCCAGGCTGGCAGGCACCTGCTCTGCCTGCAGACTGATCAATTCTGCTTCATCCCATGTCTCACCCAATGCAAACCCTCCCAGGCTGTAACTAAGGAGGAGGTGTGGACTGCAGCTCCCTAATTACCTCCACAATCCTCAGCACCTTGTCAGCCTGTGCTGGGACTTTTTCAGGGATCCATTGGGAAAAAAGGATCCATTTGTATTAATAGTCATTATTAGAGATCTGAATTAGACTTTCTCTAATATTCTTTGTAGAGTTACTTTTTGATAGGTGTTGCTTTTCGACTCCTTGTCTTAAATATACAGTTTCATAATCTTAAATGTGTCAGAGAATGGTTGAATCAATTTGGCAGGTAAAATGATCACAAATACCTTGAATACATACCAGGTTAAAGTTACAAGGTAGGTTAAGTTTCTGAAACAGTTCAACATTCAGAAATATAGGAGCCATATATTTGTGAGGTGTTATCTTATTGTCATAATTTAATTGAAAATAAAGTGATTCCATTATAGTTTGTGTGATCCTAAGGTTCTTTGGGACCAAGGCTATTCGAATGCAAGTTTTGTATTATATTGGAAATTTGTATGGTGTTGTATCTGTTCAGAAATAAAGACATCCATGTCTAAACCAAGTCCCTCTAATTGGAATACAGACCAGTGATTAATTCTTGAATCACAGCAGTGAAATCTGTTTGGAGCAGGATTAAAGAAGGGGTCTGGTGTATCACACAGATGGATGGTAGATATCATGTGTTTCCTTCTCCTCAAGTGCATTATATCTTATTTCCTCTAATGCAAAATTTAAAGTGACTCTAAAGCAGAATGTGTCATGTCAAAGTGTGGTGGTAACTTGGTCTTAAAATTAAATTATATTAGTTTAAAAATAAGCTTAGGAATTTTTCTTCTCAAGTTCAAGTCTTCCACGTGGTTGTGGCTGCAAAGACAGAGAATTTTCTTGTAGATGGGATTAATATAATTTAAATGTATTGTTCTTCAACACCAGTAATAAGAGATGCTGTCATGGAAAAACACCTCACATTTAGCATTTCTGTGTGATACAGAATTTCCTCAACTTTGAAGTAGCCAGATCAAATAAAAAAAGAGCTTTAGTTTAGAATTTGGATGTAAGTTCTACAGAAATTCTACTGTGTATTAAATACTGTGTAGCATGATATGTTAGAGGCTTTTAAAATGTGTCATCAATATGTTTCTACATATTCACTGTCCAGATGGCACAGAAGTGCTCAGTATCCAAACAAGGATCTCAGTGCCCCTGCCCTGCATGATGCACTGCAGCCCTGTGCAGCACAAAGTGTCCTGTTCTGAACTGATCTGTAAATCTGGTGTGTTTCCCTTCCAGAGCTCCTGTGACAAGGATGTCATCCTGAACATTCTCAGTGTCCTCACTGACTTGCTGTCTTTGGGTAAGGAAGCAAAGGTTTGGGGCAATGGCTGTGGGCTAGGGCAGAAAGGGGGTCCTAAAGTAAGTCAGGGAATTCATACTTACATTTAAACTTGACCAGGTGTTTGCAAGGTGAAAAAAATGTAAATTGTATCTATAGATCAGCAGTCCTTACTCCTGAGTTTGGAAAACTGAGCTTATTCAATGTATTAAAGAAAAGAAAAAGAGACTCAGAGAAAGTTTCAACTTTTTAGTTTCGAAGATGCCCATGGGTTGCAAAGTATTTCATAAACCCTGGCAGTCAACCACTGGAAATGTTCACCAGTACCATTGGAGAGAGGACTGTGAGACAGGGAAAGGAACCTGACCTTTCAGAGCCCAGGGACCCTCTAATGCAGAGAGTTCAACCTCTCTCCAAAAGGCACTTCTGCCTTGGGGCTGCAGGGAATGGATGTCACTTTATGTGCTCAAAGCTGCACAAAAAAATAAGTGTATTGGCAAGAGGACTAAAAAAAAAATAGTCAAATTCCTTTTCCTTCCTGCTCCACCACAAAAATATAATCTACTAAACAATTCCCAACCCAGCTAAGCTGCCAGGCTGTGGGGGCTGCATTGGTGAGTGCTGGATCCTCCTGGGTCCCTCACTCTTGGAAGCCCCACCAGAGACATCACCTGTCCATGTGGGTCTCTTTTCTCTCTTTTGGAGCCCTGGAGCTGTGATCCTCAGCTGGGTGCAAGGATGGCCTCCATGGGGAACAGGGGGTCCTGCTCTCCCCTAGGAACTGAAGGAGCAGCATCCCCCAGCCACAGAGCTGGATCAATGTTTGTTAACACAGTAAGGCTCCAAGGGTTAGAGTGCGGTTCCTTTGGAGACCTACATTTATTTGAAAGCTGTCCCCAAGGCTTCCCTAGGATTCCTTTTCATTTGGCAGAAACCCAGTGCAGCTTTAGTTCTTTCCTTGTTTAATTTCCAGTATCTAAGAAAAGATCACTGAGCCTTTTGCTGCTTTGAAACCTGTCGGTGTCTGGGCTCATTCCTCCCTGCCACATTTCAATGCACGCTGAAAAACTTCTGCAGCATGTGGGTTTGGGGAGACAAGAACTGTTGTGGTAACAGGTTGTTGCTCTTGAGCTGAGATTGAGGCAGGAACAGGAGAGAAGCAGGATCGTAGAAAAGGCAAAGAAGACTTTATTCAAAAGAACCACGTGGTTTTTATAGAGTGGTTCTATTATATTGGTTATAGGTTCTATTCTATTGGCTAACTAACAAAAACACCTTCCTCACACACTGTCCTTGAGAGGAACAGAAAAACGAAGTAGAAAAACACCACTTGCAAATTGTTTATACTCAACGAGTTATCACATCTTTCCAACTCCCTAAAACTTCTCACAAGCTGCTGTGAGAAACACTTGCTGTTTCTGTCTCTCTGTCCCATGGCATCCACAACAGGTAGCAGAGCACACAGTTCCACCATGCACTTCCATCCATGGAACTACAGAGCACACAGCTCCATCCATGTCCCCAGGCTGGGGACACCAGAGATTCATGGTCAGTTCTGCAAACACTCGTGCGTTCACGGCACTCAAATATTGCCAGAAGGCCACGGAAGCTCTGTGTGCTTCTTGCAGACTGAGGCCTTGTGACAGCTGTGGCTCAGGGAAGGGATGCTCTGAGCTGTCTCTCCTCTCTTCCCCAGGCACAGGACGGAGGATTCACTACGTGGTCAGCAAGGGGGGCAGTGAGGCTCTGCTGCAGGTCCTGGCCACGGCTGCCCGGACAGAGCCACCCGACCATGGCACCCTCCTGCCCCTGCTGCGCCTGCTGGCCAGGGTGGGCCAACGAGGTACTGCTGGGGGGCTTCTGGAGGGGGGCAAAAACGAGGTACTGCTGGGGGGCTTCTGGTGGGGGGCAAAAACGAGGTACTGCTGGGGGGCTTCTGGAGGGGGGCAAAAACGAGGTACTGCTGGGGGGCTTCTGGAGACGGGGTCAAAAATGAGGTGCTGAGGGTGCTGGGGGGCTTCTGGAGGGGGGTCAAATATGAGGATCATCTCATTGTAGCCTTCCAGTAGCTCAAGGGGACTGACATTGTAGTAGGGCCTGTTGGTAGAGGATAAGGAGTGATGGTTTTAGACTGAAAGAGGGTAGGTTTAGATAAGATGTAAGGAAGAAATGTTTCATGATAAGGATGGTGAGGCACTGGTATGAGTTGCTCAGAGGGGTGGTGGATGCCCCATCCCTGGAAACATTCAGGGTCAGGTTGGACAGACCTCTAAGCAGCCTTGTCTGGTGCAACAGGGGGTTTGGACTAGGTGGCCTTTAAAGATCTTTTTCAATCCAGACTATTCTATGTTTCATATATGGTGAATCAAAGTGAACCCCATGTTTTTCCATTTTCAGTGAGATTAATATTGGTTTAACTCATTGATACATTTGAATGCCTTTCTTATTAGATTTTGAGTTAGAAAGCTTAATAAACACATGTTTAGCAGCACGGCTGCAATGACCTGGCCTTTGCAACCGTTTAATTCTCATTTTCTGTTTACAGATAGGAAGTTTGGGCATAAAGTGCAGAAGGCAGAAGCCACTGATATAATACTGAGCTTGACAAGAAGACACCTGGGCCACCACCTGCACCTTACCCACTGCCTCTGGGTCCTGAGGGTTTGTGCTTCTAATGGTGAGTGCCAGGATTTTCTTCTTTTCTTCTGTGTGACAACCATGAGGGCTCTTTTTTGCTCATTTCAATGCAAAGAAACATTATTCCTGGTAGGGTTAGTGCCTGCATGCACCATTAATATACAGAAAAGCACAAAAGCCAGAACAACCTTAGAAAAAGGTGTTCCTCAAGGGGCCTATGCAGCCTTTACAGTGCATTTCATCTGTGAGCTATGGAAATAAAAGTGCTGTAGTGAAAAATATTCATGGCAAAGATCTCCTATTCTGGAATATAGACAGTCAATTCTTTTGCTCTGAGACTTGGGTACCTTAAGTCTCTATACAGTTGCCATTACCATAACAGCCAAATGTCTCACTATTGTTGATTGTATTGATTCTCAGAGCAGCTCCACGAGGGTGGAGAAGCAGAGGGTGACAGAAATCTGTTACTTATTCAAGGTTCCCCAGGAGGCAGATATTAGATCCTGGTCTTCTGGCTAGTATCCCCTCAGATGTTCACTCTCCCAGCTTTTCTTGCTTGGCAATGCCCTCATGTTAAATGATTCAAGCAAAGGGATTTCCAGTATTCTCTCTAGGGATCATTACAGATTCATACAGGCTATAAAGCACTGAGCTCGTCAGCACAAATTTCCCTTTGCTCACTCTTTCCCTTTGCTCACTCCAACCCTTTCCTCTCCTTCCCTACACCCCTCACCCAGCAGACAATTCTTGATGGCCACCCTGTCTGCAGTCTGCTCTGTGCATCCTGAGATTTAGCTCTCCTGGCACCCAGCCCTGCAGGTCCCCTCTGCCTGGACAGGAGCTGGCTTCATGCTTTGGGCTTCCTCAGGCAAGCAGCCAAGCCTCAACACTCAACCCCTCTCCCCATGATAAGCAGTGTTTGAAAGTCTGAGTGTGGCTGAAAATGCAGCCAAAGCCAGAAGATGAAATGTGCCTTTATTTGGGTTTCACAGCTGTGCAGTGACCCTGTGCTGCCTCTCACTCAAAATTATGATTTGCCTACTTCCCTGCTCCCTGCTTCAGTGCACCTGCACTCAGCTCAGCTGCTGTTCCTGCAGAGGTTTTAGGATGCACACTGCAGCCTGCCCTCCTTTCTGTTAATGTCAGACCCCAGAACCCCAGCTCTGCACCTTTGCTGGAACATCTGTTACTCTCCAGGTATCTCCAGCACTCTCCATTAATAATTTTGAATTTGTGGCTTCTGTGGCCCAGCTGGGAAGCCTCAGGGGAGGTGAGGTGAAAATCTGTATAGGTGTGATATTAAACCAGGGGATTACATGATCCCAGCCTTAAAAATTATGGAGTGGAACTTAAGGGAAGCCAGAACCATACAAAACTCTTGAGAGTGATTAGGTATGAAAGCAGGAAAGATGAATCCTTGCCTCACCTCATGCCCCACTCTGGGCTGCTCCCTTCACTGCCACCAGATGTTTGAGGCTGCTCTGGAGCAGGATGAGTTTGAGCAGCCTTGTCCACCAGCCTGGCTCTAATGAATTGCCAGCCAGTGTGAATGTAGCTGGCAGGCCTTGGAGGCTTTCCATCACAGGGCAGCTTGGCAGGGACACCATGGGACAGCAGGAGATGATGAGCCCTCTGGCAGCTCTCTGATGACCACTGGGAGATATCTACAAAACAGCCAAAACCCAGCAGTGGGCAGGCAGCCAGGGCTCCTTCTGGCTACTGTTCATTACTGATCCTTTCACCTTGGTCCCATCCATTTAATATTTCAGGGCTGTGTTTGTTCCTTCATTACACAGAGATATCCTGTCTCATAGTGGGGAGGACTGGCTGAACACCTAGGCTATGCATTGGTTGTTGAAACTGATTGCAAAATCTATCTAAAAAAGTTACTAGTCTGTTAAAAAGTGAAGGATTAAAGGGAAAATTGGCCTAGATGAAATTAAACTGCCTTCAGAAGCCCCCCCAAACCCACTTCCACTCTGCTGAATAACAGCACAGAAAGAAAACTCTGCCTTTTAAACCCCCATGAAATGAACTGTCCTCATTGAGGTGCATGTAGGAAATGTAGGATGAATTTGAACTCTGTCATCTTTTTCTGGGAGAAGACCCTGTTTAATTATAATCTGTTTTCTGGAGAGTACAATGTCTACAGGAGAAGGGGCTTTGGAAAAATTGGGAAAGAGCTGCAGGACTGGTTTTTGCACCTGGTTTTGGCTCAGGTTGTGTCCACAGACAGCTTTGTGCTTCACTTTCTGTGTTTGTAAGGGGACCTGTGGAGTCCAGATGGGAGCCCAGAGAGCTCATAGCCCCAGGGGCAGCTACTCTTCCCCACATCTCTTCTAAGCAGTGTTTGCCAGCTGCCTCCTTCAGAGCTGACTGCTTTTTTCCTTTTATTGCCATAGTTGCCACGGGAACTGTGCTTGGCATCAATGGAGCCATGGAGCTGCTTTTCAAAGTCATCACTCCCTACAGCAAGAGACACGTCAGGACGGTCAGGTAGGCAGTAGCCCCAAGGGAACTCATCTTTCCAGGACAGCAAGAAATAAAATTCTGGTTCCACTTGAAGAGGCAAAGAAATCAGAAATGTATGCAGTTTCCACTCACTTTAAACCTGCAGGGTTTTTTAAGAGGCAGAAATAGTTCCCTGAAGGACACGTTAATGCTGTGATTCATCATATGATTCATGCTGGTGGCCCTTTATTTGTAGTGTGCCCTAGACAGTGATGGCAGTTTGATTGCAAGGTACCCTCCTTCATTTCCCAGACACAACTGGGTTTGGAGAAGCATGTGCTGGCAGCAGACAAGCCACTCCTGCCTCCCACTCAGCCAGAACTGCCTGCCACCATCAGCCTGGGGGCAGATAGAGTGGAATTGAGGCAGTGCTGCCTCATCCTCCATTTGCAGAGGGTCATGACCTGGTCATCATGATATTTTTGAAGTATGACAGTTCATACTAGTATTAATTTGTGTCTGCTTTTAAGCCCATCCCACATATTTCAAATCGTTCTTTTCTGAAGACATCAAGTCCATTTTATATCTTCATCTCAATGCTGAATGTTAGTCCCCAAGCTGTCTGTTCTGACCACTTCCCCAGATGCCTTTCAAGGCAAACTTTATGAGAGCAAAACACATATCTCTGGCTTGCTCTTTAAAAGCAGGAGGAAGAATTTGCTGCTGTGAGCTGTGCCCACACAATCCCGTTTGCTTAAGCCACACAGAACCTGCCAGTTCTCCTGCTGGGACAGGCAATGGCTTGTGGGGCACTGTCCCTACTTGCTCAGGCATGTGTCAGCAAGCACAAGGCAGCATTCAGCCAGTTCTGGCTTCTGCATGGACCTGACATGGGTGAGGTCCATGGCTGCTGGTTACTGAGGAAGCAGCTTTAGGTAGAGCACGAGGTGGGAAGGACGGACAGACACAGCCCAACAGTTTGGCCACAGTTTGTTTAGCTGTGGTTGAAATGGGGGCCAGTCACCCTGGATGTGTTAAATAATGTCCATCCTGCTGTCACCATCAAAGACTGATACCAGTTCTCTCAATATCATGAGTTACACAACAGCTGGGAAGGAAATTTAATTGATTTCCATCAGCCACCAGTGCTGAAGCTGCACATCAACACATAGCACTGTTGTTTGCTAAGTGCAGCTTTCTTCTTCTTCCTCTGCCTACATGGCTGGAGATAGACAATTTTTTGGACAGTTTGCTTTTCTAAATAAGATACTGAGGGGGCCCAGCACATGCACAACTTCCTGCAGCTGCCTTGTTGATGGGAGCCAACTCCCTTTTGCCTGTGCTTTTGGCTTTCTAGCACAGTGCCAAGTACCTGGAACTGCTTCACAGCTTCAGTTCTCTCTTAGACAAAGTACCTGAGATTCCTCTGCATGGGGATACCAGGATGTTTCTTACACAGATGTTTGGATATTACCCAATCCAAAGAATCTTACCACTAAGATATTATTCCCATCAGGCCTCATGTAATAACTTTAAGATTTAGGCAGCCTGGAGAACTGTTTTGTGTATGACAGGGGTGTCCAGGATGAGTTAGACCCAGAGCTGGGCTTGGCTTCTGAGGCAACCAAAAGTGATTGATGGGTCCAAGTCCATGCTTAACTAAGCAAATTGCACCCAACTCCCTGTTTTCCTTCCTGTGGAAGTGTTGGCTGTGATTAGATCAGTGTTAGTTCTGCTTCTGTGATAGACCAGGATCTGTTTGTGATGGGATTTGGGCCTGTATCAGTTTTCTGTTAAGCAATGGGACTGGCTGCCTTAAGGCTTTTAGAATGAATTTTGTGCAGAAGTGCTTTATTTACCATTGACTGTTTCCCATAGAGGAAGTGGAAACCTTGGTATCTGTCACACCTTTCTAGCCTGGCTTCTTGCTGAGATACATTTGGAGATGCAGGGAGTGTTGCTGAGGGTTGCTGTAAATGTAGTCTGTAAAGTGCTCTAAAATACTCACTTCTAAGGGAAACAATCAGAGAAACATGCTGATTTTGATTTAAATGATTCCACATTGTCAATATGCAATATTTAGCTTTTACTTCCTTTTGTCTGGTGTACAAGGATTCTTTTGAATTCTTCTGTGGATGTTTTTTTCCATTTGGAACACAGACACAAACACCAGAGAGGCAAATTCAAAATTGCCCTCAGTAAATCCCATTTTATTGTTAATAAGCCTTTTTACTTATTACTGAAAATCTTTAATTTATTTTTCATTTGAAAAAAGGTGTCTTGTGCATTAATTTTTGTCTACCTGAGCTTTCTCACTGCTAGTTCAGTTTCCTAATTTTCTCTGTATTTCCTAAAATATTTGTGCTCTTAAAACATTTCATGAGTGTGCAAACGGTTCATACAATCTTTACACGATCTTTTCACAGGAAAAGATGATTTGTCTCCCAGCTACTCTTGTTCTAATGAACAAGAACCATAAATCAGCTGAAGCCTGGTGGCCACTCAGCTGGCCTGCCCAGGGCTTAGAGCTGTGCCTTTTGTTTCATAACTAGGGGCAGCTGAGAAGCTCAGTGGCAGAGTGGAGACAGCCTGTTTTACATCAGAAGAACCACACAAGCCTGTTTTGTGTTAAAACACAATTGCAACCCATTAAAAGGCACTAGTTTCTCATTAGTCAGTTGAGGTTCTGTTTGTTTGCAGTTCACTTGGATGTGCTGCTTTCATTGTGGAAAGTGGCTTTAGGAGACTTTATTGGCAAGAATTTAGGTCTTGAGACCAGAAGAACAGGCTGTAGAGTGGGTTATAGATCTTCTCTCCCAGCATTAGCAAATGCCTGGAATAGCTGCAGTCTGAAAGCCCTAAGCATCTTTGCAGCTCATCAGAAAATGGAGGTAGGTACATGTGCAGAAAATGCCCTTCCATGATTTCACTTGCTCTACCTAAAGCTTTGTGAGGTGACTGGGATAGGGAGTTCATGGATGAGCTTTCTGAGCTGGGGAGAAAGGATAGAAAGGGGCCATGTTCTTTGTCTAGCTCAGTATGTGCTCCCAGCTATCTGACACTGGTGCAGCTCTTCCCAAAGTTGCTGTGGCTATGCTGAAATTGGGACTGTGGTATTGGTCACAAAAGCATCTGTTTCTTTTTGCCTATAAGTTGTAGAGAGCACCAGCCTCTAACTTACTGTCAGAGAAAAACTCCAATGTTGTCTCAGAAGTCCTTTGCCCCTCACTTTGTATTTGCTCTTGATACCTTCTCTCCACCTCATAACTATGTGCCACCATGGTTTGCCTTTCTGCTGTGAAGGAACAGCCGGCAACTGTGGGAGCTGAGATTACCCTGGCTCTCTGATCAGCTGCCAGGAATGCAGCACTGAAAATGCACCACTGCTCTGGTGGGTGCACCCGCCTTCCCCTGCCCTGGGCAGCAGCAGGGCCAAGGTCACTTTAAGAATCTGCCCTGGAGAGTGCCCTATAGTGAGAGCTATTTATTTAGCCCGCTAAGATATGGAAACAAGATCCATAGTTCTATTTATTTTTCCCAGTGGCAAAGCTCTGGGGTATTTAGAAATAGTCTCCCCATGCTCCAATTGACCTTCTCTGGGTACGTGCCAAGTAGCTCTGATTCCCCTGAGACTGTGACTCATGGGCTTTATTGGCTTTAGTTAGGCATTTGAGGTCTTCAGCTTGCTGGTGCCATGGCTGTGGATCTCTCCAGAACTATCCATATCTGAGGTAAAAGGTACATGGAAAAAACATGGAACTCTCTGTGGTGAGATTTCTTGAGTTACCCACTGTGAAATCTAAGACTTAAGGCTGTCTTGCCCATCTCTCGTGATGCTGTGCTGCAGAGAAGGCTTTGTGATACCTTTTACAGGGACAGTTTAAAATAAAGCCAGATGATGTTCTGCTTTTCTCAGCTCTGTTTATGTCAGTAGCTGGGATATCTGATAGGAGTCTGTGTGGGATGCTCAAATCTTCACTCCATCAACACCTTCTCTAATGTAGCATCTCTGATGCCTCACACAGTGCAATGATCACTGCTCTTTTCACCTTTCATCCTTATTATTCCCTCTATGTTCCACAGCTTCCACCCCTCTCCTACTTTCCAGTGTCCCTTTCAACACTGTTGCTTGTTTTCCCATCTTGTTCTGAGATGTGTTTGGATGGGTTGTGGGATGTGACAGTGGGAGATGTTTGCTCTGGTCAGCCAGCATGACTCTGTCCAGGTTGTCAGGTATCCCCACCAGTGCTTTGGAGGCCATGAGTTGTCTGTGGCTTTATGTTGTGCAGGCTCTTCTAAGACTCCTCGTGTTGAAAATAGAGTATCAAAGAGGCTGAAACCAAAACTCAGAGTTTATTCTCCTTTCATAAGAGGAAGACCTGTGCCGTTTAGAAAATGGCAAATGGTGAGGTGACTGGTGCATTGGTCATTCCCTCCATTATGTTTTCCTTTTCTGCTGTTAAAAGGCTGGTGCACAGTTTTATTGAAGCAATTTGGACAGTCTGTTAAAATGTCTTTGTTTTTCAAACCTCTGTGAGTACATCTATTTATCATACTGAGCAGAGCTGGCTCATGCTAAGTGTTCGCATAAACCTCGTATGAAAGATTACAACAAGAGAGAGTATTCATCAGAAATAAAAACTCTTTCTCTGGGTATTCAGAGTACTTGGCTTTCTACATTGGGCTATTCCAGTAAAGTTTGACTACTTAATTAAAAGTGGAAAGTGAATAAAAAGGGTCTGGGAATGGTGCCAAATTAATTCACTAGAAAATGTGATATGCAGAAATTATCTGCCTTTGCTCATGTCCAGCATTACCCACTTCTGACATTTGATCACAATTCTTCTTATGTTTGGTGCTTATTGGATAGTTCCAGAGTCTCAAATGCTTGCTGATAATCTACCCTTTCATTAAAGGGAGGAAATCCTCCCATGTAACTCTATTTCACCTGAGGTGGATATCTGGATTCCTGACATACTGAAGGGAAAAAGAAGCAAGTTCTCTTCACCTGTGGTAAATGTTTGCCTCTAGAAACTTGGGGTCTT